CCCCCCCCTCCCCCCAAACTCTCTCTGTAAATCTCTCCAATAAATCCTTTCGAAATTCCTAAATATTAAACCCCCTTTTTCCTCTGAATCCATATAATTATTGCTGCAATGGCGACTCTTACTCCTGGAATTCTACTAAAGCTACTTCAATCTATGAACACCGGTACACGTGTCACCGGCGACCACCGTACGCCACTCCTTCAAGTTATCGGAATCGTACCGGCGCTTTCCACTTCCGATTCACTCTGGCCTCACCACGGCTTCTACGTACAACTCTCCGATTCCCTCAACTCCACTTATGTCTCCCTCTCCGACCGCGACACCGATCTCATTCTCACTAACCGGCTTCAGCTCGGTCAATTCGCTCATGTTGACCGGTTTACCTTTGATTCCCCTCCTGTTCCACGCGCTGTGAACCTCCGCCCTATCGCTGGCCGCCATGGCTTCATCGGGTCGCCTGAACCTTTAATTGCTAAAATTTCAAATGGAGGGTTTCTCATCCAGCCCGTTTCGGATTCGGATCCTATTTCTGTTTATTTGTCAAAAAATGGAAGAACAGAGCCGGGTTCGGGTCCAAAAGATGGAAAGGAAAAAGTTAGGGTTAGAGAAGTACTTGCACCAAAAGAAAATGTCGAAATTAAGGACGATTTGAAGAAAAAATCTTCTGAAAATGTTCATCAACCGAGGAGATTTTCGTCTCCAGCATCGGTAAAGCAAAGGTCAGTACTCAGTACTGGAACTGCATATTTACAACACAGGCGTGGTGATCGGTTAGACCTTCTGATTAGCTAACATTTCCTTTTGTTTAATTCACAGGTCAGTATCAGCAGGGAAGAAGAATATGGGAAGTGGAGAAAGGGATCCATCACCGGCCGTTAAAGTGAAGAGATCAGCATCACCAGTGCCATCAAAATGTGTTGTACCAAGTTTGGCGGCTGCGAAAGAAGAGAATAGGAGCACAGCAAAAGAAGCAGCTATTATAGTGCCGTCAAGGTACAGGCAGCCATCGCCTACAGCTACGAGAAGGCAAGGGAGTCCGTTGGTGGCGAGAAGGATGTCGTTGTCGCCTGGACGACGGTTGTCTGGTGGTGTTAAGGTTTCACCTGCTGTTGATTCGTCCGGGAAGAAGAAACTGGCTGCTATTGCTGCTGGAATTTCTAAAGTTTCTGAGGCGATTGTGGGGTCCGGTAAATCGAGTAGGAAGAATTGGGATGAAGGGACGGCTAGCAGTGGTGACTCTTTTGAACAAACAGAGAAGGTTTTCTCAAAGAAAAAACCGGATATTCAGGCAATTCTGAGAACTCAGGTGATATTTCTTGATAATCTCTTGTTCTTATGGAAATCTGATTACTTCATGATGTGCTGAATGCAGTGTTATTAAAGGCATATGCTTCCTAGCTGAAGCCATATGCTTTATAGAAGTGTGTACTTCAAACAATGATGTGCAAAGCGATCGCAATGAAAAGTGGTTGGTTCTTTGAATATCAAGTTGAGGAGTTGGATTAGTTTCAGGATTATAGTACACTAAATTCATTAATGTTTGGTGATTTTTAATATTGTGAAAGTGTATGGTTGAGCTATATATATTAGTTGAAAATTAATTCAGAATATGTTTTATACTTTCTAAATTTGTGCCATTTTGTCACAAAAGAATAGTGGATGCTACACTCAGCACCCACTGAATTAAACCACTATCTGCCTTTGAACATACTCTTATGATAAACACGTATAATATGATACTTTTGCTTATGCTAAATTTAAGCACTAGTTATTAGTTTCTGATTGATAATGGCCTAAGCAATTATGTCATTTTCCAGGCTGCTATTTCAAGGCGTCTGAGTGATGTAAGCAGTCATGCTGATGAATTTGGAAATGAAGGGAAAGTAAAATCTGGTGTTGCTGAAAATTCCCCTGACACTGAAAAGCCTAACAATGTAGCTCCAGTCATTCCAGTTCATGAGAAGAAGTGGATTGATGGCAGTGTATCGCTAAATTCTGTGTCCTCTGAACTCGCAAAGCTTGGAAAGGTATGGAGGAAAGCTTTTAAATTGAAAGTGCTACTATCCCGTATTAGCTAGTTTTGCATCTGCTGATTGCATTGAGCTAGAGCAAAACCATAATAATTTCTTTATGGAAATAATTGAAGTTTATTCTTCTCATTTGTGACTAAGAATGATAACTCGATCCGTCTTGTTGCTGGTGCATGCATACTAATCTTTCCTTATTGCAAAATGCAAATGGTTTTGGAGAAGATTAATGAAATTAGCTGAATTTATTTGGCTGTGTTATATATATATATTAATGATGATGCAAATGGTCAATTTGTTGGTGTAGGAGGCTATGCAAAGGAGAATAATTGCTTCAACAGCTGCAGCTGAAGCCTTGGAAGAGGCCCTTGCCACTGAGACTATTGTGAGAAATTTGAGGTAAATGTCATCATCCCTTAGAGCTTTGCCATATCATTTACCTTGCCACTGAGACTATTGTGAGAAATTTGAGGTAAATGTCATCATCCCTTAGAGCTTTGCCATATCATTTACCATTGTTATGCCAAACGTATGACAACTTTATTAGCTTATGCCACTAAAACAAAGTTGAGCTCAAAGGGAAATGAAGATACAATCTTGAATTACTAGGATTTACCTAGTCAATAAGGAGCTTTACCCATGGTAATTTATGAAAAAGAAAGCTACACTTTTTTTGCCTTCTGTGGAGTTAAGGGAGGGGGGTAGGGTTAGAATGCGTCTAACTTCTCGTCATCTTGAGCACATTCAAACTAATGTAGCCGCTGACTCATAAATCGATGCTAATGAATTTGTTGAGCTTTTTGTTTAGTTATTATATATACTAGGTTCTTGAACACTGTCGATGTTCTTAAGACAACTTCTTCAACTTAATTCTTGTCTAGAGAGGAAAACACTGTTGGGACTTCAAGGAAATTAAAATGTATGCACTTAATATTCTGTTTGCCAAATAGAAAATAAGAAGGGAGCATAAAGGAAAGAGGAAACGTTTCGTTGCTTAAAACATGCAAATGGGAATTGAGGAATTCTTGTTGGACAAAACTTTATACATTCTCTTTCATTTTCTTAATTCTGTCTACCTTTTGCAGTATGTTTTCAGATCTACGCTCAACATCCAACCCCAAAAACCCTCTGCCAACTATTGATCGTTTCATGTCGATTTACGAAGATGTAGTGAAATCAACAAATGTCGTTGACTCAATCACCAGCAATCGTGGGGTGCAAAAATGTAATGAGAATATGATAATGGAGCAACCAAAATCATCACTTCTTTGGGTGGAGGCTGCTCTAGCAACTGATCTTGAAATTGTGTCTCTTTTAACAAATCAGAACAGTGGAACTCAATCTGCATCATTGAAAAGCTCTCCAATATATCAATCAGCAAAAACATCAAATAAGAATCCTTCGATTGTTTCAGCAGTAACTGGAACTTGGACAAGAGGTAATGGGATGAATGACACAGTAGAACTTGCAAAGAAGTTGCAATCTGAGATGCAAATGTGGTTCATCACTTTTGTTGAAGAGTCATTAGATGCAGGTTTTCGTGTGTTCAAGAATTGCTCCATGGCTTCTGATGGAGGTTCAAACTGTGGTTCAATTACAGCTATTTTGTCACAACTCAAGCGAGTCAATGCATGGTTGGATCGCGTAGTCTCAAAAAAGGATGAGCAATTGATACAGAAGATAGAGTGCTTGAAAAGAAAAATTTATGGATTTGTCATTCAGCATGTAGGAACAACTGCTGAAAATTCAACTCCTACAACATCCTAAAATTTATGTTCTATCTTTTAGTTTTTACTTTCTTTCTTCGGTGTAAAAATAATGACTACTAGTTCATCAGTTTTAGAAGTGAAGAATTTCTCCATTCTTCAATGTATTGGATTTGTTTTAGCATCTCTGTTTAATGTACCAACGTGCCCTTGGTATTCTTTTGTTGATAATGGTTACATTGTGTGATCAAATATTCATCACTTATTGAAATATTCTGTTTATTGTCAAAAGAAATGGCAACTTGATGATTCTGATTTGGGTTTGGAAACTTTTTCCAATGATATGGTGCTGGAAGTCCATATACAAAGGGTCGCGATAGGGTGAGCTAACCCCAAAAACTCGTGCTCAGTTTAGAATGCAGGCTGCAACTCCCTTGCATGAAACCGGAATCGCTAGTAATTGCCGGTCAGCCATACAACGGTGAATTCGTTCCCGGGCCTTGTACAGTTGGACAAGTGGGGAGTGTTGGGGTGAACCAGAAAAGTTTGGGTAGGCACTATTCCTATCCAAAGAACCTAAAAGCAGTACATTATAAAACAATGGGTAACAATGATCCAAACAGAGTGTAAGTGTAGCACCATCAATAGGTCTAAATCCTGTTACGACATTGATCGCTTCATTAGGAATTCCTGCACGTGTTAAAAAACTTGCTCCGGAACGAGGACCTCGTGTGGAATTGGCGCAACCTCGGGCTCAGGAAGGCGCGGTTCTGGTTCTCTCTTCCCTGACCTCATTTTAAAGGAATGTGGATCTATTCTTGCATTGGACTTAACTCGGGGAAAGCTGGAAAAAGATTCACAAATAGCCACTTTTCAGCCCCCCATAATTGAAGTAATAGCCATTATCTTGAAATTGAGTGAAACTTTAGGACAGTGATTATATTTTAAAGACAAGGCTAAAAAGTGACCAGTGAGCGCATTTGATCACAATTATAATGTTAACAGATGACTCAATCTCTTGACCCGAGGGTCTATCGGATACAACCTCTCTACCACACATAAGGTGTAAGGTATGCGTAAACCCTACCTGCTCCAGACCCCACTTGTGGGGATCACATTCGATATATTTTTATTGTAATAGATGGTTCAACAGGATCAAATCCAATTCACCAATATATGGTGAACAATTAGGATTGTCATTTCTTTATTGGAATTGAGCCAAAAAAAAAAAAAAAGCTTCCATATTGGAACAAGATGAAACAATATCACACTGAATTTTCTATTCCCAAAAACAAAGGCACTTAAACAGCCAAAAGGATGTACCTCAAATAACAAAATTTTATTGTCTGGTTATATAACATGAGATGAGATATTATATATCAATAGTATTCTCTTTTACTGCACTTTATGTCTGTAAAATTTACAGCCAAGGGGAGTTGTAAATGGGAGTGGCTACAGATTTTACTTGAAGATACTTATGAAGTCCTTCCATTCCCAAATCCCTTTCAAATCCACTGCTTTTGTATCCTCCATACGGGCAATCCGGATCGAAAGCAAAGTAACAGTTTATCCAGATAACTCCAGCTCGAATCGATCTTGAAACTGTGTTGGCAATGTTCAAGTTATTTGTCATAACACCAGCTGCTAGTCCATACTGTGTACAATTAGCTCTCTTGATCACTTCCTCTACCGTCCTGCCATTCGTCACATCATTAACGATAAGGTTAAAGTTATTTATACTGATATTAGGTTACAAGGGGGACCTTGGTGTAACCGGTAAAGTTGTTGCCACGTGACCAGGAGGTCACATGTTCGAGCCGTAGAAACAGCCTCTTGCGGAAATGCAGGTAAGGCCACCTACAATAGCAGGAGCTTAGTGCACCGGACTGCCTTTTATACTGATATCAGGTTAGTTACTATTTTATCAGGTTATCAGTTAAGTATTAGTTGTATTATAAAGATTCATACGTCAGTGCATAGAACTTAAACTTCGATATGATTTAAGTTGAACATTTACTCTTTGGAAATGCTAATAAGGGAGTGAACTTACTTGAACTTCATTACTGATAAAACAGGTCCAAATATTTCTTCTTTTGCAATTATCATATGATCCTGCCAAAATCATTAAGAAGATATATGACACACTGTATATTTGATCTCAGCATTCAAATGCAAAAAATGGTAATTTTCGAATACTTACTTCTACATCGGTGAATATGGTTGGCTCAACGAAATAACCCTTCCGATCCAACGCGTTGCCCCCGGTTAACAATGTAGCCCCCTCCCTCTTTCCATGTTCAATGTATGAAAGTACTCTCTCAAACTGTTTCTTATCGACCTGCATCAGGTAAATAGTGAGTTAAGAGTAAACACTTACGCGATTTTGGTTATGTCAAGTAGCAACATGTTGAAAGAACAGTTCAAATGTATACTTGAGGTCCTTGATGAGAATTTGGATCAAAAGGATCGCCAACCACCCATGTTTTCGTTATCTCCACCAATTTCTTGACAAACTTATCGTAAATTCCTTCTTGGATGAAAAGACGAGATCCAGCCACACAAACTTCTCCCTGAAAAAAAAGAATTGAAAGTGAGGAACATTACCTCATTGATGTGTTTGAGATATACTAATAAGGAATCAGAATGAGAAGTATGAAATTCAGTTTACCTTGTTAAATAGAATCCCGATCATAGCAAGAGGTGCAACTTTTTCCACATCTACATCGTCGAATACTATAAAAGGCGACTTGCCTCCTAATTCTAGTGAAACAGGTTTTAAATTGCTCAGCGCTGCAGCTTGCATTACTAGACGCCCAACTTCTGTCGAACCTGTGAAGCTTATCTGAATAAAGCACAAAATTATTAGCTGGTATGATTCGCCAAGGCAGTACTCTAGCTTTCAATTGCCGTTCTTCTTTCATGTACGAATGTGTCAATTAGGAATCACCTTGTCTACGTCCATGTGCGAGCAAAGTGCAGCACCAGCAGTCGATCCAAATCCTGTCACGACGTTGATCACGCCATCGGGAACACCAGCCTGTTTCAAGAAAGTAACATTGAAGAGGAGAAAACATAGTACTCAGTGTCATAAAACTAAAGGAAGCTGCTAACTTAAGGTATGACCTGAGGCGGATTCAGGATTTAGATTAAGATTCTCAGCATTGAACTCATTGTACTGTTAAAATTCATTATATTTTAGTAGGTTTTTACTTGTATATCTATAGTCGTATAAAAAATTATGGATTCAGATAAACCCATAGCCAAAAGGCTACATTGCCCCAGAAGGTATCCCCTGATCTGAGGATGAGCTATGATCCGGCCTAGCCTGGCTCGCGTAGTTCCAACAACTAGCGAGGAGCACCTTAGTGTACGATCGTGCCTGATCGGATATAAAAGTTTCACAGTGCATATGAAAAATGAAAAATTACCTGCTTAGCCAATTGAGCATAATAGAGAGCAGAAAGAGGGGTTTGTTCGGCCGGTTTGACAACCATAGTACAACCAGCAGCTAATGCAGGGCCAACCTTCATAACAAACATCTGAGTTGGGAAATTCCAAGGAATAATGTGTCCGACAACACCAATTGGTTCGAGCAACGTGTATCCCTGTATATCGCGTGACATCTTGAGAGTCGTCCCATGAATTTTATCCGCTGCACCAGCATAATAACGCATAAATTGCGCTGCACTAGGGATGTCCATTGTTTTTCCAGCAGCAAATAACTTTCCTGCATCCATTGCATCCAATGCTGCTATTTCTTCTGCATTTTCTATGATTAAGTCTGCAAACTTCAGCATTATATTTCTCCTCTCCTGATTGTAATCACAGAACAAAAGTAAGAGAATGCAGCAATCTTTTTATCACTAGAGAAAGGCAATATTTTTCTTTGTTTACATCTTAGACAGGTTGAAGGGAGCCTTGGCGTAACTGGTAAAGTTGTGCCATGTGACCAGAGGTCACGGGTTCGAGCCGTGAAAACAGCCTCTTGCAGAAAGGCAGGGTAAGGCTGTGTACAATAGATCCTCGTGGTCCGGCCCTTCCCCCGACCCCGCACATAGCAGGAGCTTAGTGCATCGGGCTGCCTTTATTTTTATTTTTTTTACATCTTAGACAGGTCAAACAATCATAGATGATGAAAAAAGATCAACTCATTTAGGACTGCGACACAAATTGAACATTTCCGAGTGAATATACAAGGGGCAACCTAGTGCACGAAGCATCCCGCGTTCACGCAGGATCCGAGGAAGGACCACAACCCAAAGGGTGTTATGTAGGCAGCTTATACAATAATTAAGATAACCGCTACAATATTTTACTAAGGGAACAAGGCAAACACAAGGTAACATTATGGGGTCGTTTGATACATGGGATAAGAATAATAATCTCTGAATAGGATTAACTTTATCCCATGTTTGGTTTGGGATATTAGCTAATCCCGGGATAACTTTTATACTAAAATGGTAGGATTAGCTATCCAATATAAACAGTGGGATTAGCTATCTCATACAGAAGGTAGCATAACTAATCCCATGAGATATTTATTCACATTACTTAGGTATAAGATTTTAATTCTGCAGAAAGTAAATTTTTTTCCTTCTAAATTTTTATTCCCATTATTTACTGGTTCATCCCATACAAAAAGATTTTTTAGGAAAAAAAAAAATCCTCAAACATCACTTTCTGTCATATTTCTGATGTAACCTATCATATCTACATTGAACTTTCATGTAAATGATACTTTAATCTGATGTTACATTTCATTACATTACTTCCTCAGTTTCTTTTATGTGCGCACAGTTTGACGGGCACTGACCAGCGGCGAATCTAGAATTTTTACTACATGGGTGCATGCACTACTAAAAAAAATGAAAAAAAAAATTATATTAAAGTGGGGATTGATCTCTCGTATTCTTGGTAAATAATTCAACCTTTAACTAAGTGCGTCATTCAACGTTTTTGAAGCATGAGTACCAACAGTTAATATTATATCAATTTTAAACAATATATACATAAAATATTTAATTTTACGAACATATCATGAGTTGACGTGCCCCATGATTTCTTCTATAAATTCGCCCCTGGCACTGACAGGGTACGGGCTGTAATTCTGATCGTAATTTCCAGCTTTTTAAAGTCTAAAAATAAATTAAATTACAACTTTCTATTCTGTGGCTGTAACGTTACAATCACTATATAATATCGTGTCCAACTTTATCTTCCTTTTCTTTCCTTACTGTAGGAACATTGATATCACCTTCAACATATTTTAGATTAAATTAGAATTTACTATTAATAGAAACTAAAGGGAAATTTTGGAAAATAAAATAAAATAAAATAAGACTGACACTTTAATCAAAAAGAGAAAAGTTAGGTTTGACACTCTTTATCATTGACTATCCATTAAGTAGTACATTAAAACACGTTTAGGGACTGACTAACTAATGAATTCACACTTGAAAAATCTTAAAAAGTACATCTTTTACTTAATATTCACTTACTATCTTTCTTTATTTGTATATAATTATTTAAGGAAAAAAAAATAAAAGAAGAATCGTAGAGAGGATGTTAATGTTTACTACTTCCTCTATTTTCTTTTTTAAAGATTTTTTACATACCCCTTGGTAAAAATATTTAATAATTTATTTGGTAGAGTATTTGTTTAAACTATTTTTATCCTTCCTTAAATATTACACTTAGTTCACACTCCGCTAATTAAAACAATAAAGGTAAATTTAGAAAGAAAAAAAAAGTAAATGACTACTTTTTTCGAATGTCAAATATTTTGAAACAAATTCAATTTACTATGATAACTATTTCATCTATTTTATTTTCTATGGCATTGTTTGCCTGAAAAAATTAATAGCACAGTCAAACATATCTATAACATATAAGTGATGAAGCCAGAAATATCCTTTAGGATGTTCAAACTTGAAAGAAGTAAAAAAAAGTTCTCGACAAAGAGTATTCAATATATGTCATATACCTTTAAAACTTATTATTTTATCTGTACGTACAGTGTAATTTTTCAATAAAGAGTGGTCAAGTGACCACCCATTAAGACATGTAGCTTCGCCTGTGACACCCAGTGGCGAAGCCACATGGATAACAGGGTGGTCAACTGACCACCCTTCGTCGAAAAATTGCACTGTGTACATAGGTAAAATATTACATTTTAGAGGTATATAACACATATTGAACACCCTTTATTGGAAATCTTTTTCACTTTTTTAAAATTTGAACACCCTTGGAGAAATTCCTAGCTTCGCCACCGGTGACGCCCATCATTTATAACAATATTTCAATATAATGACCAACTTTATTTTGGAACTGATTTTCATGTCATCTTATATTATATGTTCTTTATAAGTATTTCACTATAGCAGCTAAAAAATATCGAAAAAAACGACGTTTTTATTGAGAAATTTAATTATGTAATTAATATTAACCGGCACATAATATTTTACCAGAAGGGGAGCCTTAGCGTAACTGGTAAAGTTGTTGGCATGTGACCAAGAGGTCACGGGTTCAAGCCGTGAAAACAGCATCTTGCAGAAATGCAGGGTAAGGATGCGTACAATAGACCCTTGTGGTCCGGCCCTTCCCAGGACCCTGTGCAGGGAGAGCTTAATGCATCGGGCTGTCCTTTTTAATAATATTTTACCAAATCAAATAATTTAACATTTATAGTTAAATGAGATAAGAATATAAATGTACCATAGGGGATAAACGAGGCCAAGGGCCATTGTCAAAAGCTTCACGGGCAGCTTTGACAGCCAAATCAATATCAGCTTTGTCTCCTTCAGCAATTCTTGCAATTACCTCCTCATTTCTTGGATCTATCGTTTCAAACGTATTTCCTGCACATATTCAGAAAAAACTAAGCACATGGCACAAAAACTAAAGGCCAAATATTTTTTATAGACTTCTAAATATATACAATTAATTATTTCTTCTGTCCTAATTTATATAGCACCGTTTGATAAGATATTGAGTTTGGGCAGCCCTACACAAAGCATCCGTATTCACGCAGGGTTCGAGAAATGGCCGAACCCTAAGAGTGCGATATAGACAGCCTACCCTAATGCAAGCATTAGCGGCTTCTTTCACGGCTCGAACCCGTGACATATAGGCAGTGGCGAAGCCAGGAATTTTATTCAGGGTGTTCAAATTTGAAATAAGTAAAAAAAAATCCCCGATAAAGGGAATTCAATATATGTTATATACCATTAAAATCTAATATTTTACTTATATATACAGCGTAACTTTTTGATGAAGGGTGGTCAGTTAACCACCCTTAGGGCTATGTACCTTCGCCCCTGCCTATAGGTCACACTGAGACAACTTTACTGTTGCTCCAAAGCTCCCTTTCTGATAAGGCACTGAGTTTAAAATGAAAAAAAAACGTTTGCAACTTATAATTTAAACCAAGTGTTAGATTTTTGAGTGGCTATAAATCATCTAATTAGTTGATAATCACATCTTTATTTCATTTAATACTTACTCAGACCTATTATTTTATATCAAGTCATATTAATTCATGATAGTTAAATAATTTGCAAGGTAAGAATACATATATGATCAGAGACGGAGCTAGCTTATTAGGTGCAAGTTCGGCCGAATTCAGTCGGTTTTGTTTAAATATTGTGTTTGTATTAAAAAATTCATTAATTACGAACTCACAAACTAAAACGAGCTATGAATTCTGTGGTAAATTCAGACCTTTAACTTCAAATCCTGGATCCGGCCTTTGTATATGATTAAGTGAAAAAGTCTTATGTACACGTGGTAAAAACTGGGTAATTTTATCATTTCCATTATTACACTTTACTGCTTTGTAAGAATACTATTATTTTTTCGAGATCTAAATCCATTGCTCTATAAGATTCACCCAAAAGAAAAACAAATCTCGCCATGAAGTTTTAGTCAAGAAAAAAATTATTTTATATTCTGACATCTGTTTTGTTAATCTATTTTCTTCAAACCGTGTCTGGTTTTAGTTCAAAAAATTCCACCAAACTTCTCATAATGCAACAACCCATTAACAAATCTTCTAAATCCAAATCCAACCACTTAAAATTAAAAAAAATTAAAAATAAAAAAGAATCTCTCACACACACACACAAAAGCGTAAAGTAAAAAGGGGAAACTAGTACAGAAGCAGAGACGGACTTATGCTATATCCAGAGAGGTAACTGGCACCCGTAAAGTTAAGCAAAAACTTAAAAAATAATGATATATTAGTAGTGGACATCCTATATACAAAGCAGATTTTGATTGAATTTAAAAGTGCGATTCCGATTTTTAAATCCTGGGTTCGCCTCTCTGACCGGAAGTAATCATATAGAATTTTGAGTATTGAGCGTTTTCCCGGTAATAGGTATTATACAACACGAATTCGAATTAGTCAGGTTCTAATACGAATACCAAATACTGAGTAATAAAAATATCATATACTAGAATCAAGGGAAAAAAGCTGCAACAGAAAAGTTGAGCTTTATGGTTTTTCACCCGGTATTCGGCCCCGACCTATTAAAGAGAAAGCGCTCCCTGCCAGAATGTTTTTGATTTTCAAGATTTAAAACCGAGACGTCTGGTTAAAATTTAAAGAATCATATTCATCCCATCATACTGATGATACAAATAAGAATCAAGAGAACAAAGCTGCAACAGAAAAGTTGAGTTTTTATAGTTTCTCACTCGGTGTTCAGTAATATCATTGAAGCCCCCGACCTATTAAAGAGAAAGTACTCCCTACCAGGATTTTTTTTCATTTCCAAGATTTAAAACCGACACCTCTAATTAAGATTAAAAGAAATCATATTCATCCCATCATACTGACAGTACAGATTAGCTGATTTCATTAACAAACGGTAAAGAGGAAAAACAGAGTAAGAGATTAACCTGAAACAGAATCAACGAATTCGCCATTAATGAAGAGTTTTGTGAACTTAACCTTTGGAATTTGGAAGTGAGACTCTAAATTTCCATTAGATTTCACCATCTTTTGTTTTTTGAGAATTTCAACTGCTGGTATTGTCTTATGGAATTACAAGAAGAAGAAGAAGCACATGCATATTTACAGCATATATATAGGCTTAAAATCCGAGGGGTTATTTTCTCGTGGGGGTCGGTTAAAGAAATATGACTTATAAGGTGGCGTTTTCTTCAACTATTTAATTAATTAGCTTAGACTATGCCATAAAAATTTATTTGTATCTGATATTTATACCACAATAAAAAATAAGTGTATCATATTTAGAGCCCAATTTAGCCATCAAAATTTTTTCACCTTTTTCCGAATTTTTTTTGCTTTTTGTTAAATTAGTGTTTGGTCATAAATTTTTCAATTTTCACTTGCAGATGAAGTTTGAAATTTTTCAAAAATTTAAAAAACTCCCAAAAACTATTTTTAAGAATTTTCACTCAAATCATTCAAAAAAATTCAAAAACAACCCAAAGTTATATTCATGTCCAAAACACAACTCTAATTTTCAATATTATTTTCACTTGAAAAAAAATCACTTTTTTCGAAATTTTACAATTTTTATGTCCAAACGCCCACTTAATTTATAATTTAATACGAAAATGTATATTAATTAATTATACTTTAGTGTTGAGCGTGAATATGCAAAATTGAAAATACATATGTCACGTATTTAATTAGTTGGTGTAAACATAGATGCGAGTAAATTTTTACCCTTATAAATATGGACTATGTGAAAAAAGGTTTTTAGTCATTAAAAATGCTCTATAGGAAGTGAGATTTGTAATCTTGAAGATAGGACTGAATATAAATATTCAGATTAATGTGACTTGATAGTGTAAAAAAAATTATACTGGCGATAAATATAAGTTAAATTCTATTTTCCTTATTCTATTCAGTTAAATTGACTTACAGGGATGTAAAAAAATTATAATGGATGTGTATAAAAATTAAACTAAATATTTTTGTACATTATATATTGTTGTAATTTAACATACCAATTAATGGTTATCATAGAGATTAAGTGTAACTATTTTATACGTGATCTGATTATGTAAATATAGAATAATTATTGGTTTTTATTATGTTACCAAATAATAATTATCATACAAATAATTTATAATTCTTTTATAAGTAATCTGATTAAATAAATATAGAAATTGAATGTCTAGCTTCAAGAATTAAAGAGGTGCTTGTGAAAAATTACTTTCTTGATTTGACTTGAAAAGTTTTTTTGATAAATTGCTTAGATAATTTTCGAAGTAAACGCCAATGTAGCAGTCAGAGAGATATTGTCTTGGTCAATAAAGACTACTTGCTATTTTTAAAAGTTATCTAAGGAGGTAGATTGACTCTTGACTTTTGACAGCGGTGTAAACGATATTAATATAAAAAAAATAAACAAATGAATAAATTATTATAATAATAATATTAATTTTTAAAATATTTTTAGCCAATAATTTTAGTTTTTAAGTATGTATTTAGTAAAAGTTGTCAACAAAGTGGTGTCCCGTAGCACCGCATGAGACAAGAGATTTTAAGTAGGCGTTTGGACATAAGAATTGTAAAATTCGAAAGAATGATGAAAATTTTTTTCAAGTGAAAATGGTATTTTAAACTTAGAATTGTGTTTGGACATAAATTTCAGTTTGGGTTGTTTTTGAAGTTTTGTGAGTGATTTGAGTGAAAATTATAAAAAATAGCTTTTTGTAGTTTTTCAATTTTTCAAAAATTTCTAAAATGTATTTTCAAGTAAAAATTAAAAATTTATGAACAAATGCTGATTTAAATTTTATTGGAAAAATCTTCCATCAAATTTTATGACACCAAATGTGTACTCAAATTTTAGCCAACTGCCAAAAGGGACTTGTCGCATGTGGGTCGTGCTTGTCATTTCATAAAAGCTGATTTAGACCCCAAAAAAAAAGGGTTCGTGAATAATGGAAGAAGAAAATATAGAAAACGAAAGAAAACAGAAAAACTATATTTAGACGTATGTTGAAATTACGATTATTAAATTATATCTCCAATTATGCAAATTGAAAGATACTTTTGTTATTCAAAATTTCAAATTATTGGAATAGAACGAAAATTGCTTCTTCTTTTACATGATAATTCCCGAGTGGTAAAAATGATTGTAATATATACATAGTTTTTTAAAAAAATTGGATAATCTAACATAGATTTTTTGGCAAAAAGATTATTATATGCATATTTCTGCTTTTCCTCCCCTTGCTCTTTATAATCCGCAGAAAGAATCTAACAATAAGGGGTGAAGCTATGAGTGATCAAGTGTGGTCAACTAAATACTTTTTGCCGAATAATTAAACAGGATAAAATATTAAGTACTTGTTATTGATAAGAAATAAATCGTCCTTGCATAACCAACTAGCAAAGAATATTTAAATTTTGGACACCACTATTAAATTTCCTGGCTTCTCCACCGCCAACAATGTAAAATTTTCCTAATGAAGTCAAGTTATATTGATCATGCCTCAAAAGGCATACGATCGAATGTCGAGTAGCATATATAAATATCGACTCAGACCACTTTTACTGTGCAAAGTATCAGCTAATTAGTGTCGAGTCGACCTCTAGGGCTCTATTCGACTTGGAACTGGTTCAACTAGGGGTGTACATGGACCGGGTTTGTTTGGTTTTTATCCAAACTAAATCAAATCAACTATATCGGTTTGGATTGATTCGGCTTTGTCGGTTTTTTCGGATTTCTCGAAATTTTTTGTTACATGAATATTATTTCAATCTTACTTTGTTAAAGTTATAGATAAAGTTTTGATAAGTGAATATATGTTTAATAAAAACCGAAAGAACTTACAATTATAAGATCCACTAATATATTCTTATGGGAGATTTTTTTTTAGTAACACATGATAGTTATTTTCTTAGCCGTCTAACAATAATTTTTCGTTGATGCTTTTAAGGTTAACTGAATTTAATAATTAAACATAAAATCAATATGAAACATAAATAATGATGTGTTCTATTTAATTTTAATATTATCTAAATACCATTTAATTTCAAATTCGAAAAAAATATAAGAATTTAACAGATCTTGATATATGAAAATGAAAAAACAAAGAGATTGACACATTTCAATACCACGTGATAAGAAAGTGATGGGACAAACCCATTATTTAAAGTAAATAAAAATAGATGCACTTCATAGTTCTATTAAATATTAAATCTCATGAGAGGATCCCAAATATTTCTAGATATATTTTGAAGAAAATTCTATATAAAGTCTTAAAAGTATATATAAAAATTATATATTTATATGCCGCTTTGGTTCGGATTTTCTCACTTAATACCAAACCAAATCAAACCAAACCTACTCGGATTTTTTAATTGGTTTGACTTTTTAGTTTGGTGTGATTTTCCGGTTCGGTTTCAACACCCCTAGGGTCAATCATAGGGGTGTTCAAAACCGAACCGAAACCGAAAATCGAACCGAAACCGAAGCTTAATGGCTTATTGGTATCGGGTTAACGGTTTAACGGATGGGGAACGGATTGAATTTCTTTTATTAACGGCTTATCGGTTTGGGGGCGGATTATTCAATTTTCTTAATGGATAATCCATTAACCCGTTAAGAATATATATATACATATAAAATTTATTTTTATCCATATATCTATATTATTATAAAAGCATGAATACAAAGTCGGTTTACAAAAATAACCTTATAATATTAAGCATAATAACTCATAATAAAAGGATATAACCGGAATTCTAGATATTAACATTATAATCCTATTAGTTTTAGGACATAATACTACACGTTAGAATCCTACACGATACCAAGACAACTTATAAAAGGAATTGTAGCAACTAAGCGGCAGAATCACTTATATGGATGTTCTACCTTTTGTTTAATCTCTATGCAAATATAAATATTTCGCACATAAAGTAAAATCATAGAAGAGAAACTAATTGGAATTTGAAGATCACTATTCAATAATCGGATCTTGTGATAGAATGATAAACGAGAAGTCGAGAACCTAATTTTTATCCAAATTTTAAGGTTATTAAATACCAATGGAGGACAAGTTATTCACCCAAATCACTTTTACTCTTATCTATATCTATATATATGTCTATGTCTATCTATATCAATATTATTATAAGAGCATGAATAAAATGTTGGAGTACAAAAATAACATTTTAATATTAACCATAATAACTCACAATAAAATGACATAATCAAAATTCTAGACATTAGCCTTGTAATCCTATTAGTTTTAGCCTTTTAGGACATAATACTACACGTTAAAAATCCTACATGATAACCTTTAAGAAACCTATTAGTATAATTTTTTGGCATAAATATATAATACTACATGTTAGAATGTACACCGAATACATTTAGGAACATGTTAAATTTTCTATTAGTATAATTACTTTGGGGATATGGATATATTTTTAGCCATGTAATCCTATTACTTTTAGGATATACTTCTTAAAAAATTCCTATTAGTAATTTAACTTAAAAACGTATTATATTGTCCAAATCCATTTAGAAACATGAGAGCATATATCTATCTATCTATATTATTATAACAGCACGAATGTTTTATGCTAAATGTCGAACAACAAAAATATCCCTAAAATATTGATTGACTTTTATACCCTTAATTATTTACATTAGTGTTTACAGAAAATCGTATGAAAAGGACAAAACTAGAAATACTACACACTAGGATAGGTACTTGTAATAGAATCCATTGCAAATCAGGATCTCTTCAGCGACGGTGATTTATTACAACACTAAGTGCACAAATTTTGGTGGATTTGAATGTTCTATTATATGCAAAATATTAATTAATATTTGAAGAGATTTAACTTCCGTTTTTTATACATGGTATCTTTATTTTCCATGCAGAATCCCAAATTAATATATATTTATATTATAAATTTCCTACCTAATTCAATAAGAAAAGATTAGTAATCAAAATTTTAGTTGATTATAAAATTGTAAATATTAAAAAATAACTTAAATGGCTAATTTATTCTATTATATGCAAAATATTAATTGATTTTTGAAGAGATTTGACTTCCGTTTTCTATACATGGTATTTTTATTTTCCATACATAATCCCAAACTAATATATATTTATATTATAAACTTCCTACCTAA